CGAAATTTTTAGCAACTCGTGAGATATCCTTCACATTTGCAGAAGATCAGTATTTTGAAGAGTTCCTGCAAAAGTACATTCAACCTTCTTACATGAGCGTAAGTAGAAATACTGCTCGTTCTGATTCTATGAAATTATTTTATACAATGGCTGAGAATTTAAAAAATGAACTTAAAAAAATTGATGGAATTATGTGTTTCACGTTAGATGGTCTGGACGAAATCATAATGGTAATGCTTGTGTTACAGCACATTTCATTGATAATAATTGGGTATTGTATAAGAGAATTATTGCTTTTCGTTTACTTGAATATCCACATAATGGTGTAAATTTATGAGAAAAATTGTTACAAGTTTTTAATGAATTTGGTGTGTTAGATAAACTATTTAGTGTTACCTTTGATAATTCAAGTGCTAATAATGCATGCATTGAGCTAAAACGGTTGCACCCCTATATGATTCTAAATTATTTCACATGCATTGTGTTTGTCATATATATAATTTAGTTGTACAAGATGGTCTGAAATTAATAACACCACAAATAAGTATAATTAGAGAATTTATTAATTATATTTCTTGTTTAGATTCTAGACAATAAGAATTTGCAAAAAATTGTAAAAATCTTGGATTGAGAAGAAGAAAATTTGCTGATGATGTTCCTAATAGATGGAATTCAACCATTTTCATGTTAAAATCGTGTGTTGTCTATACTAATGCTATTAATGTCTTTGTTAATTTAAAGTAAAATCAATTTTATATAACTAATTCGGACTGGAACAAAGCATTTAAAGTTATGAAATTTTTGAAACATTTCTATAAGGCAACAAAAATTAGTTTCGAAATTTATTATCCAACTAGTAATCTTGTACTTTTACAATTAGTAGAATTGCTGGACAGTTTTCATCATTTAAAGACGATCCATTTTTCTTTCAAATTATTCACTCAATGGAGGAAAAATTTTAAAAATATTATAAAAACATGTCACTAATTTTCCCAGTGGCGGCTGTAATGGATATTCGCATTACGTTGTTTGGAGTTCATTGTGCTTTAGAATCACTTTCTGAAACATTGACTTTTTAACATAAATATTATAAATCGACAATAGGATATTTTTATTAATGAAATGTATAACAACTATTTTATTAAATATGGTAACAATGAAAATATTTTTTTTCTACAAACTCTAGTACAACTTCTAAAGGCAAATCTTCTTTTTTCTCCATAATAGCTAAGAAACATAATGTTCTTGATTCATCTACAACTTTAATTGCAAATTCAAATACCACACCTGTTGAATTAGACCACACCTGCTAAATTAGAAAGATATTATCAATTTGATCATTATAGTTTAATACTTGAAGATGAAGTGGATAATTTAGATATTTACGATGGTGGAAATTAGCGGACATACCCTGTATTATCTAAAATGGCACGAGATATACTAATAGTTCCAGTCTCAACAGTGACATTCGAGTCTGCTTTTAATGCAAGTAACATGGTACTAAACGAAAAAAGATCTAGACTTAAAGAAGATATTTTGGAAGCTCTCATGTGCGTGAAAGATTGGATATTCGCGGATCGAATGATACAAAATAAAATTATTGATAATGTTGCTAAAAACTTCAAAAATCTCGCAATTCTTGAAAATTGATTGGAAAACAAATATTAAAATATATAATTTTTTAACAACTAAATTATAGTTAATACTTAAGTAGGTGTCAACCTAATTGGAATGTAATTAAACTATAAATTATAATAAAAGTAGGTGCCAACCTAGTTGTGATGTACTTATACTATAAATATTTGATAATAGTAATTAAAAATACATTTAGTTGTTATTTGTTTAAATTAAATTTAATTTTGTAAAGTTATAAATAATTCATGTAACATTAAATTTGAATTCTATGTAAACATTTATTGGTATAAATAAGAATTTATCATTTTGTTCAATTCTTAATTTACATTTAATAAAAAAAAAATTTTGCTATAAATATAAAAAATTATATATTTTTATAATTTTATTTATATAATAATGTGGGCCAAATTGGAACAAACCGCGACCCGCGCGACCCATGACCTGCATGGGCTCGATCCTGATAGGTCAACGAGCAGACCTGGGTTCTAGTCCAAAATTTGTGGGACGACCCGAAACCGATCCGGAACCTGTAGCGGGCTCTTTTTTACCACCTGGATTGACACCTCTACTTAGGGGCTACAGTTGGCAGGTACAAATGCACACATAGTAAAAAAAAAGGAAAAAAAGATCCCTCCGGGTGGAAAAGGATACGTTGTCGAGCATTATTTATTGTGTAAGGAAAATGCGTGAACACATGTCAACAAGTGATGTCAAGTATTGATTTGGTAAAAAAAAATTGTAAAAATCTAAACTGTTCGATGATATATTGTCACGTGATGAAATGTAAGATATGATATAAAGAATAATGTACATATAGCATAATTCATTCCGTAATATTTCTACATTGTTCTGACAAGTTTTTGGGGCTCAAGATAGCCCCACACGTGTTTTATGGGGTTTAGCTGCCGTGGGGTGCGCTGGGGGAGGTGTAGGGCTTTTTCCTATCAAGAGAACGTTAGATTAATTAATTCAACTTAATCTAAAGTATGGATTATTTGACGTCCAATCAATATTCTACACTATAATCTAATATATTAAAAATTGAAGCTGAAACACAACGAGGAATTTACAAGAAATGTCCACTTTCACACGATCTTCTATAAAATTGTTCGAAATTTATTTAATATCAATTCTGCAATATTTTCGACCAAAATATCCTTATTAACAATTTATATTCACACTAAAGACAAAAATGTGCATTACAATTAAAAAATTTGTTGACTAATAAAATTTTGACACATAACCAACTCTAATCATTTCAAAAGAACACATGTCGAGTCACAATAAATGCTATATATCATAACTACATTTCAAATGTTAAAAACTTTGTAAAATGTAAAGAACTCTCATATTCATAATGAAATTTCTTTCTAGACAAATGAATTATTAAAATAAACAGAATTCAAATATGGATAATAACTTTTAAAATGTCGAAAACATCATTTTTAATGTCAATTCACATGGAAGATACTCCTCCTTGAAATTTGTGACAAATTGAAAAAAAAAATTGCTTAATTTTTATCAAAGGAATAATAGATAATTTAATATTACATTTGGCCATTTTTTCAAGAATTATCAAAATTAGACATTTTTCAATTATCAAGCATTGAATTAGACATTTTTGTAAATTCCCCAAACATAATTGATAGCAAATATATATATATATATCAGAAATGATCTAATGAGCACCGATACTCATCTTATCCTAAACACCAATAAGTTGGCACATTTTTTGACGTACATTCTTTAAAAATACATTATTTCAAAACTTATTTTCAACCACACATTTTTTAGTAAAATAATATTTTACATTACATCAATAACTTTTCCTTACTTTTTAACATATTTCTCATCATACCACTATTTAAAATACATTATTTCCTTACTTTTTAACTAATTTATTGCATTGATTATGACAAATTCAGCTTTATTTTAGTTAGCCTATGTTTGACTCCACTTTCAAAAATTCATTTTTTTTCAAAAACCCATTTTCAACCACACATTATTCATAAAATAATATTACACATATATCGAAAAGTTTTCCTTAGTTTTTAATCATACAATTTCTAACAAAAAAACTAATAAAAAATGAGGTTCAAACATGAGCTTAATATATCAACGACAGAGTGCTCGAAAAGAAATAAATGAAAAGGACATTAGGGGTTTCATATTTAAGATTGGTGAAAAGTTAAAGAGTAATCTATAATATCGAAAAGTCTTATATGCATAAAAATAAAGAGAGGAGCAAAACTCATAGATATTATTTAGCTTATAAACACAAATATGTATAAAATGTATCAAGTTGTATAGTATTAAAATTTGAAGCTCAGCTAAATTAGACTAGTTTTTATATGTAATTGTGAGAGAGAGAAAAAGTGTGATTTCTTATTAATCGATGATGACAATAGCTTCAAAAAGATTAATTCATATTCTCGATAATTTTTACTAAATGGTAAGATATATAAATTTGAAAAGAAACTTGAATGGCGAGAAAGAAAGAGAAGATGTGTTTTTCAGTCACATTATTTTGGAAAAATGTATTTTTGAATAGTAGATTGATGAAGAATGTGTGGTTAAAAAATAAGGAAAAGTTATTGATGTGATAGAAAATATTATTTTATTGAAGATCGTGTGGTTGAAAATGAATAGAAAGAATGAAAATAAAAATTTTAGCGTATCTCATACATGGGCTAAAATAAAAATAGAGTACTATGTACACACTAAAAAACAAGCTAAAATTTTGTGAGTATACTTGAGAGGCAGGCATTCACATTAATAAATTGTTTTGAAATTTGAACAATAACTTCACTTCTATTGAATAATATTAAAATAAAAACAGAGTGCTCTGTAAATACTGAAAAACAAGCTAAAATCTTGTGAGTTGTGAGTCTACTTAAGAGGTAGGCATTCACATTAATAAATTGTTTTAAAATTTGAAGAATAACTTTACTTCTATTGATTAATATTAAAATAAAAACAGAGTACTCTGTAAATACTGAAAAAGAAGCTAAAATCTTGTGAGTATACTTAAGAAGTAGGCATTCGCGTTAATAAATTGTTTTAAAATTTGAACAATTAACTTTACTTCTATTGAATTATAATCGAATCGACAATCAAAATTGAATCTTCGAAGAAAGATGATCATATCCCAACAATGAATGGAATTAACAAGTTTTAGTTTTCAAACTTTCACACACTTCACACATATATAAGGTCGCATACATTTTATGCTTCGGATTAGTTTTGATCCACAGAAAAGCAATTAGAAATTACTAATTATTTCACATTAGGATTTAGGGCTTCATAATATTCATTTTTAATACCTGATCATCATACCTTACAATTTTGATGTCGGTCTGATCAGATCAACGGCCTAAACTAAGCGCAGCGTTGGCATCAAATCTCCATGCAAATCCACCGAATTCCATCTTCCACACATCACAAGGCATTGTTTTGCTGTGCCTCTCCTTCTGCCATGTGTACACCACCCTAACGGTGCATGCAAAAGCTTGCCAGGACACAGAAATTTTCTCCTTCACCACCAACCATACCGCCGTCTCCGCCACCGGTTCTCGTTCGGGCGGAGCAACCATCCTTCTGTAAGCACGGTTAACCCACTGAACTCGATTTAAACCATCTGATATCATCCCTGGACACGTGTCCATCTCCAAATTCTTAATCTTCTCAATATCCGTACACCCTATCCCTCCATCTACCCACGCTTTTGTTATTTGATCCACCATTATCCAGGATTCCAGCACTCTCTTAGCCGGCAGTGGCACTACCGCCGCCAGATCTGACCTTTCCGGTAAACGAACGGCATATAATCTATTGCTATTATTCTCAGAATTATCGAAGTTAATCAATATCTGTGGCTTTTCCACCGGAAAAACCATATTTTTTGAAGATCCAGTTGCCTTTGAATCCTTCAGAGCAGTCATCTTTGGCAGTAACTGTAAAGTAACATCCGTACGATCAATATCCAAATCTTTCCTATCGTCACTTTTATTCAGTATTTTACTACTGTTACACCGTCTCCTCTCAGTTTTCTTAACCCTAACGTACTTCCTCTTTATTCTCCTTTTATTACCAACACCGGACTTGATCTCCGCCGGAGTCGATCCGGAAACTGAGCCGTCGGTTACTGGTTTTGGCGCGATCGGTCGGTACCTGAGCATAATCCTGTTAATTCTCGTCCCATCATGAGCACCACCGCCGGAAAATCCTACGGCGGACCAAGTTTTTCCACCACTCATAGTTGTGGACGAGCTATTTTTCCGCATTATTTTTCGCTCTCTAAGAGATAAAAATTACCGGAGGCTGATCCGACATCACGTCAAGAGCAAAACTCAAACAATGACGAGCTTTGATTAGTGGGGCTCGGATCTGGGTCCCGGACTAAAGCGCAGCGTATCCAAACGAAACACAGTGTACACGTTTGTGCATTGCGAAAAAGGTGGGACACGTATGTACCTAAGGGGAACAAAGTGCGGGGATACTTTTGGTGGGAGGTTCGAGAAATATGGACGCGTGGCACACGTTTTATCGTTTGATGTTTCTTGCTGATTCACTCTCTACTACAAAGCGTGAAATTCTCTCCATTCTTTTGACTTCAAGTTCACAAAAACAAAACAAACATGCAGATTATAATATTAGTTTTGCTTCAAGAGTAATTTTAAAGGGCGTATTAGGTAGAAATTAAAATCGAATTAAAATTAAAAAATTAATTGTTATTATTGATTTTTATTAGACGAATGAGATTCAATAACGTCTATATTTTCAATTTTAATTAGATTTTAAACCCTACCAAAATGCTCTAAATAAAATTTATTTATCATCATATTTACATAAAATTAATATTTTCTCACTTTTAGTGAATTATTAAACCTTATTTCTTGATAATAATATAAGCTTAACATGTTTGGCTAAGCTTAAAAGTGCTTCATAAGTTTAGTTAACATCTCCATTCATATCATCCTGCATCATGTATTTATTTAAATAATATTAGTATAAGACATTACTAAACTAAAAAAATATACATTATTGACATGTCAATTTTAGCTTCTGTTTGGTAAGAATTAAAATCAGATTTTTAGTAAATTTTGATAAAAATTATAAAATATTATATTGATGGAGAATATGTAGTTAAAAATGAAGGAAATTTTTTTGGATTGAGTGTAATATTATTTTATTGAAAAATATAGTTGAAAATAAAAGAAAGAAAAATATATTTTTTAAAAAATGAGATCAAACAAGGACAAAATGTGTAGTTAAAATTCATTATTGAGTTCGACCAAGATGACATGGACTTAATAAATCAAGCAAGTAAAGAATAAGAATAAAGCATTTGTTTGGGTTTCATTTTCTTTTACTTAAATATTATTTTTATAGTTATATATTAATTTAATTATATATTTTGGTGTGTTTGAGTCACATTATTTTGAAAAAATACATTTTGAAATAGTAGATTGATAGAGAATGCGTGGTTGAAAAAGAAGCAAAAATTATTGATGTGATAAAAAATATTATTTTATTAAAAAATGTATGGTTAAAGATGAATAGAAAAATAAGAATAAAAATTTTAATATGACTCAAACAGGAGCTTAGCAGGATATACATTTAGGCCTTGTATGGGAGGGATTAAAATCGGATTAAAATTGAAAATATAGCCGTTATTGTTGACTTTTATTAAACGAGTGGGACCCAATAACGGTCATATTTTCAATTTTAATTGGCTTTTAATCCCTCCCGAACGGGGCCTTAATGTAGTTTTGCTGTAATATTAATATCTACTTTTTGGTATTTGTATGCATTGAATTAATCTTTAACATGCAGATTATAATATTAGTTTGCTTCAAGAGTAATAATTTTAAAGGGCGTATTTGGTAGAAATTAAAATCGGATTAAAATTGAAAAATTAATTTTTATCGTTGACTTTTATTAGACGAATGAAATCCAATAACGTCTATATTTTCAATTTTAATTAAATTTTAAGTTCTACTAAACATGCTCTAAATAAAATTAATTTATCATCATATTTACATAAAATTAATACTTTCTCACTTTTAGTGAATTATTAAACCTTATTTCTTGATAATAATATAAGCTTAACATGTTTGGCTAAGCTTAAAAGTGCTTCATAAGTTTAGTTAACATCTCCATTTATATCATCCTGCATCATGTATTTATTTCAATAATATTAGTATACGACATTACTAAAGTAAAAAAATATACATTATTGACATGTCAATCTTAGCTTCTGTTTGGTAAGAATTGAAATCAGATTTTTAGTAGATTTTGATAAAAATTGATAAAATATTAGATTGATGGAGAATGTATGTAATTAAAAATGAAGGAAATTTTTTTGGATTGAGTGTAATATTATTTTATTGAAAAATATGGTTGAAAATAAAAGAAAGAAAAATATATTTTTTAAAAAATGAGATCAAACAAGGACAAAATGTGTAGTTAAAATTTATTATGGAGTTCGTCCAAGATGACATGGACTCAATAAATCAAGCAAGTAAAGAATAAGAATAAAGCATTTGTTTGGGTTTCATTTTCTTTTACTTAAATATTATTTTTACAGTTAAATATTAATTTAATTATATATTTTGGTGTATTTGAGTCACATTATTTTGGAAAAATGCATTTTGAAATAGTAGATTGATGGAGAATGTGTGGTTGAAAAAGAAGCAAAAATTATTGATGTGATAAAAAATATTATTTTATTGAAAAATGTGTGGTTAAAGATGAATAGAAAAATAAGAATGAAAATTTTAATATGACTCAGACAAAATAGAAAATGAAATCCAAACAAATGCAAAAGATGTGAACATGTAAAAATGTATTCCCAAAATACCTGCGTGTTTTTCACGTGGTAGGAGCCGTTGGCGGGTCTGAATTGCTTCAAGATTGTTGTTGCTTTCCAATGAGCTATGGAGGCATCAAGTATGAGGACACGTGTGTGTCCCTTAAGACGTTTCAGGTATTTAAAATATATTTTATTTATTTGTTTAAGGTGTTTGATAAAACTATTTGACAAAAAAATATAAAATAAGTAATTGATAAAATTGTAAATTCATGAAATATGTAATCGTTGAATTTTTAACTAATTCTAAACCAGAAGAAAGTAGAATAATGCCCATTGATAGAAGCATCGGAAATAAAATAATTTTCTGATGTTTGCTAGCAATTTAAATTTGAAAAAATTCGTAGGTCAAGTCCCCAACTTATTAAATTCGACAAATGAATTATCTTCTTTTTCGAATCGTTTTTATTTAGATTTGCAATCCTAGGTTATCATTATATTATTTATTTTTACTTATTTATGAATGTTTGATTTTATTTAATAATTAACTAAATTTTCTTTTTTTAAGTTACTTATTTCACTCCAACTTATTTTTGAATTTACTTTTATGTTTTCGATTCTAAAAATTAAGTCTTTTTAACTTTTTATTAAAATTGAGCGTACTCGACTTTCCATGCATTGCATGTCTTCTTTTGCAACGTCGTCAATATGATGTTTCCAATTTATATAAGGTCGTGCGCTGATTAATTTGTCAAGATAAAAAGAAGAAAAAGTCAGTAATACAACGCTAAGTTAATACCTTTATGAAAAATAAATATCACTCATGAAAATATAATACATGCATGCATGCACGCACGCACGCACGTGTATAAGTTATTACTTATTTATTATCTATAATTTTTGCTAGAATAAAGTCAACAAATCATCAAGACGAGTAGAGTTATTATTTACAAGAAACACTAATTAAAAGAGAATCACAACTTTGGAAAAAGTTTTAAAATTGTAATGATAAATATTTATGTTCACCAATACAAGCATGTCAATCAATTGTACTCAAATTAAGCCATTGTCTCTATAATGTTTGTAGGTGTCTGCTGGAGGGTTTAAAGGATTTGGGCAGAGCTAAATATGAAGAACAATTTTGTAGGAGCTGACTACGTGTCGAATTGCTACAATCGGACTTGGAATAAATTTGATGGTCCCACCACTGTGGAAAGTAGGACTCACCGACTTACCGAGCTCTGTGTTGTCGGATCACAAATTTATAACATTATTTATTATTAATTTTATTCTAAATTATGCCTTTCAGAAGCCATTTATGAGGACAGAAAGAAGCTTTTTGGAATTTGATTAATCACCAAAATTGGATTTCCCACTTCCTAGTGCACCTAGTAGGGAAATACATGCAAATAACCTAAATAGAAGGTAATATTTCCAAAATGAACTTTGACTATTCTAAACAATTGGAACTACCTAAAATATCCCAAACATAGAATTTACAATTAAGTCACCATAATATGAACAGACTTTCCTTTAAGTCTTTGAAATATTAAAAAAATTAATTTTATTATAATTTTTGCTCAACAATGAATAAACATACCATGAAAAAACCTAGAGGACCATATAAAACTAAGAAGTTTATAAAGGAAAGAAGGAAAGATAAGATAGAGAAAGAATTCAATGAAATTATAACCAAAAGAGAATATACAAATCAATTATATGCATCTCAGGAAGTTTTAAAATGCGTTAAAAACAATATATTTGAAAATTTTATAAAAGGACCAGTCAAACCTTAATAATAGATGATATTCAAGATCTTATAGATAAAATCGAAAAAAAAGAAAATGAGAATGATAACAAATCATAAGACACTTATACAGTTAGATGATGATATAAATATAGATTTGGATATTATAAACTGCCAAATTTTTATAGATTTTGAAGAAATTATAAGAGAATATGAACTTTAATTTGATTTGATATATTAATCTAATTATAAATGAGGAAACCTGAATTCCATAAGATGTGTAATGCATATAAAAAATTAAGATAGATTAACTATTAGATTTTATATCCTTCTCATAAATCATAAAATAACAGAAGAACATATAATAGAATATTTAAAAAATACTAAGAATGTTTAGAGATTTTGAACCCCTATTTTAATAAACTTTATAATTTTTGATATAGATTTATTTTGATTTTTGTTCGCTCAAAGTAGCACCCCCAAACAATTGGTATAAGAGACATAGAAATCATGGAAACTATAATTATAAAAACAGATTGGTATTATAAATTAGAAGAAGAACACGGATGTTATATATTTTTAGAACCTATTCCTAAAAAATTAAAAATAATAACATTAATTATAATTAAAGAATTACCTAGAGAAATAAAAGAACAAATTATAGAAAAACTCATAATAAGATCAATAAGAAATGAATATATATACAAAAAAAATTTATTATAGAA